GCTAATAAATACGAGAAGTATAAGGCCGAGAGAAATTTCGATTTTGGAGATTGGGAACACGCCGAGCTTAGTGAGCAGTTGCGGGATGAAAATTTCAATCTAGGGACTACACACCCTGAGCTGTTGCACGATCCCAAATTTATCTGCTTCTTGAGCCCAAAAGCTGCCGCAGAGGATGCTGCACATGAACGGTAAGTTGTTGCCTCATTGGTACAAGTATCCTTCGATCGAAGCTCAACGATCCCATAGGGAACACTCACAAGGGGAGTTTTGGCTGGTACGAGCATATCTCTTCAGTAGTCTTCAGCATGAATGTTTACTCTTGGCACCCACTTATTTCTTCACTAGTGTCTTCTCAACGCCGATGAAGGACAACTAGGCAAAATTGAAAAGGTAAGTCCTACCGCTTAAACCTCCTTGCTCAACAAGTTTGACTTTGGTATTTAGTTGGATGATGTTGGGACAGACAAAGACAATGTTATTGAACACTTGGGAGGTGCGATGTTCATTGATAGCGCGATTGTCAAGGCCAAATTGGATGCTAGAGTGGCGTGCTCTCCTAAACAGCAAAGTAAGTATTGTTGCTCCATGATTTCTCTGAGAACTTGCTCATCTACCATTCTCAGTGTTGAAGAGGAAAGAAATTCAGTGGAATAAGCTTTCTGGAGCGTAGTTCTACGTATTGTATCCTGTGTATATATGCAGTGTCATCCATCCGGCTTTAGTGATCCGATACCTTAGCACGTGTGCAACTGATCCCGGAAACCGGAAACAGGCGCTCAACCAAACTGCAACGGCGACGGAGCACTGAGCAACCAATCGTCGTACCACCTATCATACCCTCAAAACTATCTTTTCATTCGTGATTCGCGCTCAGCTCAACGATTAAACCTTCTATATGAACACCTCACCTGTCTTTGACGAAGGATACAACGATGAAGATGTCTCGAATCAGCCACTTCAAACGACGCCCAGTAAGAGCATTGACTTGCTTTCAAGGCTTAGCTCCGCGCAGGAGTGCGAAGGTAATTCACTAATTTGTTATATGCTGAATGCAAACCCTGCCTACTCAATGTTTTCTAGACTTGGCGTATCAACTTTTAGCTTCTCTGCCTAGAGCTCGTCTCGCTACCATACAAAGGAGGCTCGCACCGTTGCTGCAATTCGATGTTGTGGGAGTAAGTCGCTCTCTATCTCAACTTTCTGATTTCGTTTCTACTGCTAATTCTATCTCTCATCATAGTCTTTGCCAGCTGAAGTATCCCTCCAAATATTCTCCTATCTCCCTTTTCCAGCTTTACTAAATTGCGCCCTCGTTTGTCGACGTTGGACCATCCTTGCCAACGATCAAGCCCTCTGGAAAAATCTCTGTGATGCCCGTGGCTGGTCATGGCGACAGCCATCATTTAAATATCCTCCAGCCTTCACCCAGTCGGGATTAGGTGCATCCCCAGATGCCTGGAATGATTCAGATGACGAAGGAATGGGAGACTCTGATGAAGAAGACGAAGAAGAAGAAGTTGCTGATACACTCATGATGAGCGAGCTTGATGCTGCTAAAGCAGAGTTAACGATGATGCATGCAGAGTTGGATTCGGGGTTTGCATCCATGTCGTTCGCGGGTGATGCGCAAGTCATCGCATCCACGTCCTCCAACGCCTTTGCGCCCGTTCCGAGCAGGAACCGGGTCAGCGTTTATTCTCCTCCTAGCAACAAGGTGTATTCTTCATCAACTAAGAAGCTCGCCACTGCGCGCCCTCGAGCAGCCGCGCGTCACTCTGCTCCTTCACTTCTCAGTTCTGTATCATCTTCATCTTCGTCAAAACCGAACTATAAACTACTACATCAAACGCAGATCAAACTTCAGAAGCGTATTCTCACCTCCTCTTATCGATTATCCGCACTCCAAACCAGAGGTGCACCTACTAACTCTCATACGAACACAATATACTGTCTTCAACTATACACATATCCCTCTTCGGGCGCCCAAGTACTATTCACTGGCTCGCGAGATAAGACTGTACGAGAGTGGAATTTATCGACAGGTCTTGTGGAGAGAGTCCTCGGCGGGATTCATACGAGCTCCGTTTTGAGCATCTGCGTGTATAATGGAATACTCGCTAGTGCGGGCAGCGACCGAAAGGTCGTCGTGTGGGATCTCGAGAGGAACAAGGTCATGAAGGTCATTTCTGACCATGAAGACAGCGTGCTTTGTGTGCGGTTCGATGAGAAACGACTTGTTTCTTGTTCGAAAGGTTCGTTTTGTCACTTTTCACCTTCAAATATCATGAACATTTACCCTCCCATACGTCTACCTAGACCGGACTGTGAGAACGTACCTATTCCCCGATCTAGAGCCTCAATTCGTCCTAAGTGCACATCGAGCGGCTGTAAACGCCGTATCTATCTCAAAAACGCTCATCGTGTCTGGCTCTGGCGATCGTTCAATTAGATTATGGGACGCCAACACTGGGAAATCCTTGCGTACGTTCGAGAATCACCACAGCAGGGGGTAGGTATCCTTTTGCCCTGATTGACGAATTTCAGCTGATTGATATTGCAGAATCGCCTCTATCGATTTCAAGCCTCCTTATGTTCTTTCTGGTTCTTCGGATAAACATCTTCGCTTGTTCGATATCACAACCTTACAAGGCTGGTCAACTTCGCCGGATCATGACACTCTTTCTGGATCAGTCAGCCACGGCTTGGGTTCTCAGGCTGCTCCTTTTCCCTTGCCCTCCTCTTTCGTCCCAGCTTTCCTGTCTCAGACTGTCACTGCAGGCAACAGCGAATTTCAACCTACTGGATTTGGATACGAACCTGTACAGCACAATAATGTCAACACGACGTTCGCATTTGGCCAAGAAGGCCAGCCCGTCTTGTGTCAGACGTGCGGGAACAGCGGGCTGGTCACACTCGGCGGAGGTGGACGACAGGGTCCTGGTAATGTTCATAAGAACGTTCTTCATAGGGATCTAGTGAGGAGTGTTGCGTTTGGAGATGAGTTTGTATTAAGTGGGAGCTATGATTTGAGTATCAAGGTACGATTTTTGTCAGACGTGCAGCGGATGATGATTGATATTCTTTCTCCTGAAGGTCTGGGATCGTAGAACGGGTGCCTTGGTCGCAGATCTTTCTGGTGGGCATACGGGGAGAATATTTTGTATCGGATTTGATTGCACAAAGGTGAGTTCAGGGTCGTATGCTTGTTTTCTGTCGATATACAAACTAACTCTATATCACTTCAGGTCGTCTCGTGTGGCGAAGATCAAGTATGTGCTAATGGTTTCTCAACTCTATATAACGAGTGTGGCTCAATGTTCTTCCTTTCTTACAGCGTATCTGTATTTGGGACTTTGCTCATGGATTTGATACCAGTTTCATCAATTTATAATTATTTTCTTCTTTCTTTTCCTCTTTTATTCTTCACAAGGCATAGGCATCGACGCAAAGCCGTTACCATGATTGGATTCTCATTACATTTCTGAATGTATCAACACTTCCTTTTTCTCTATTGATGAATTTCACGTCAAGTATACACCATGAATGAAGCGTTGACTGAACAAGTCATCAGTGGCTAGACACATGAAACAAAAGGAGCAGACCACTAAGGAGTGGGTGGCCCCGATGGTTAGTAGACGGTGGTTGTGAAATCGCTGCATTGGGAGACCAGCTGAGTTTTTGATCAGCGGGGTTTTGCCATGTTTTTCTACTCACGCTATACTGCATTTTGAATGAAGACAGAATGATGAGATCCAATTCATCCTTCAAACGAAGAATCAATGCGCCAAAGAGATGGGCTGCTGAACGGACTTGCTCTTGACCTGCATGAGCCCTACAAGAGGTTCTCACAAGAGGTTCCCAAATTCAACGTGTAAGTACCACAACAAGACGCCGGGTCCAGGAGGGTCCAGGCGGCGGAGGAGCACTGTGATCAGCTGTGATACCAGAGCTTCTCAGAGCTTCCAAGCCATCATGCTGTGGAGCTGAACTCGTTGATTGCAATTTGAATGTTTCGCGGAATGTTCGCATTCACGGCAGAGTTCTATAGGGTTTAGCGAGGGTATTTAAACCTTCGTTGCCACGACACGTCTTTCGTCTTTCTTCCTTTACTTCACGCAGCCTTCACTTCACGGTACTCAAATTCCATTAGAAGGCAAATTCCTCTCCTTCGATCCCTACTACATACGTTCCCTCATTTGTCGTCATGCAATTCACGCTCCTCGCCTCTGCTCTTATGGCCTTAGCTGCCTCCGCAGTCTCTGCTTCGCCCGTGTCCAACGAGGCTCGCATGATATTGGATGTCTGGGCTCCGACGATCATTTCTCCCAATGCTAGCACTGTTTGGACCGAGGGACAACAGTACAATGTTACCTGGTAAGGATGATTATACATTCACTGCCTCGGAGTGCTCTGAATATGCCGTGTAAGGGATACTTCCAATGCTCCCGTCAATATTTCTAATGGAGCCTCTGTCGTTCTGGGTAAGGATGGGAAATTAACCAACACAAGTACGTCGACGCCCCTCTCCAACATTCGTCACTTGAACTTTACCGCTCACTCGTCTCTAGCCCTCGTCAGTGGTTTCGACCTTAGACAAGGATGGGTTACCGTCACTTGCCCTTCGGACGTCATTCCGGAAGATGACTATTCTATCGTCTGTATGTTAATGTTTTTGAACCCCATCTGTATGGCATGCTCACATGCTTTTTCGCAACAGTGTTCGGTGATTCCGGTGACCAGAGCGAGCAATTCACTATCACTACCTCCCTTGAGGGTGTTCTTTCTGACCTCTAAGCACGATGTCTTTGTGGCACCCTACGTTTCACATGGATAGTTTCTCCGTAGGTAACCCTCAAACATTTACATACCAATAGTATGCAGGGATGATAGTACTCTCGTAGCACCTTTGTGTATGCATTTTGACATGGACATTCAATAATGAATATTCTAACAATTGAACGTTCTGAAGTATATGAGTGAATCCTCCCATTGTTAGGTCCTTCTTAGCTCAGTTGGTAGAGCGCGTCACTAGTAACTTGGTCTATATGACGAGGTCAGTCGTTCAAGTCGGCTAGAAGGAATAAGAGATAGTTTTATTTTTTCCCGAAGTATCGATGCGAAGATGTGAAACTGAATCGCCTTGTAGATCATGAAAGATTCTGTATTTTGTGCGATTACTATGGATACGAGCGGTAGTTACACGAGCTCCAGAATTCCTTGTGATGATATTCTATGCTGCTTCATCAAAAATGACTTTTCGTCGGTATTTATTCTGATCACGGAGCCACTGCGAGTTTTTCGTGTCAGTTCTAGTCAGGTCTGGTGGGAAAGAAAGACACATACTTTCCGGTATTCATGCAGAGAGCCAATCCTTTCGCCTGCACAAATATCATATAAGTACTTGATGATTAAGCTTCGAACAGAAAGCTGACCGTAATAATCTGGCACTGGACTCGTAGGACTTTGCAATGTCACATCCACGCGATTCTTCCCTATCCTCTCATAGAACTCCTTGTCCTTCTTATCTATTAAGCTACCGTAACGTTTCAAGGATGGAAGTTGACGCCATAAGAACGCGCCGAGGGTCGGTCCCACTAAGTAGCCAACACCCATACACGCAGTTGTGCAAATTCCGTAGAACATAAACGGATCGATGCCCTATATGGATACTTGAATGTTCAGGTAGCTTCCTAAATGAATGCAAAAAACTCACGAAGATGGGTTTCATCGGATCCGTGTCCAAGCTTCCGAAGTATGTGGCTCCACCCAGCAGACCTAGCAGTGAGCAAGGTATGGCTGCAAACTACGTCGTCCCTTCAGCTTCAAGAGTTCATAGGCTGTTACATTATCTTACGTTTTGCCATCTTCGTTTGCTTCGTCGAATACTAAGGTACGCAGGCCATGTGAGTGGCTCGACTGTCTTTGACACTGTCTTTGACACTGTCTTTGACACTGTCTTTGACACTGTAGGTGGAGTGTAGGCTGGTTTTTCTGAGGATGATGTAGACGCGCTTGAAAAGGTTGGAGGTGTAGTTTTTTGTGTAGCGGCTTTCGTTGACTTGAGTCGAATGGGACCACCGTTTGCTAGGCTTAGTGATGATATTCGAGAGGCTGATTGAGCTTGAACGATAACTCTAACAGAGACAAAAGACCGTAAAGATTGGATGAACAGCGTCCGCTGCATGGCGAAACGAAAGGAGAAATATGTCACGTGGAAGCACTTGCCGTTTTTTGACCTGTACCTTCAAGACGAGGACATCAACTCTGGCAACACCTTCTGTACAATGAACTTGTGTTGGCAGTGCTAATCAACTTTGCCTGACGCTATCCTACCCGACTAGAGCTGATTGCTAGATGTGTGCACGACGGACAGTAACCGAAATGACGTGAAACCGTCTTACGCATCGAACTTCCTTTATATACAGGTCGCGATAAAGAAGGTATTAACATTTTGCAATGCCGGCTGCTCCAGTATCTGCAACGGTGACAGACAATTCTATCCCGCTCTCTGAACTTCCCTCTGGCGCAGGCACTACTGAGCCATCAAACCAACCCAAACCGCAAACTAAAAAACTTGAATTAACTGACCAAACCAACCTCCTCCCAGTTAAACAAGTTGTCGTTATATTTCTTGCCCTGTCATTATGTGCTTTGGTAACATCCCTTGACTCCCTTATTGTCTCCGCTTCCCTATCTACCGTGTCGGCCGTGTTCAATGCAGGCTCCGTGTCCTCCTGGGTACCATCTGCATACCTGTTAACCTCGACTGGATTCCAACCACTGTATGGGCGATTGAGCGACATATTCGGGCGAAAGAGTACTCTGTGTTTTGCCATGACCGTTTATTTTGTCGGAAATCTCGCTGCGGGTTTCTCTAATTCCATCATTCAGCTTATCGTGTGCAGAGGAATCGCAGGAGCTGGTGGAGGAGGCATCAGCAGTATGCTACAGATCATGATCTCGGATATCGTTCCTTTGAGGGAAAGGTATGTTGTTAATCTTTTGCTATCCAAGAAGTCTGACGCTTGATTTCTTCTAGAGGAAAATATGTCGGTATATCAGCTGGTGTAATCGCATTAGGATATGCCATTGGACCTGTCATTGGGGGTGCCTTAGCTGAACAGGCCAGTTGGAGGGTGAATCGATGCAGTTTATCCCGTCATCTAATTATCTGACTTGGCTCTTTCTTTCAGTGGTGTTTCTGGGTTACTTTACCCCTTTCCATTGTCGCTACTATCATGGCAGTCATCTTTGCCCCTTCCAAACCAATGACGGGAGGAATCGTCGAGTTAGTCATATTTCTACTTGTGCCATGCTTTATTACGACCTTGGTAATTCATAGGAAACTCAAAATCATCGATTACATTGGCATTCTGCTAACAGTCGGGGGATGTACGCTCATTATGCTACCTCTAATATGGGTGAGCAAATCTGGCTCTCAGTATCTATTCTGTCTAATCATAAGATACTGGAATGAACAATTCAAGGGAGGTGTCACGTATCCATGGAATTCTGTGGTTGTGCTGGGCCCCTTATGTTGTGGTATGTTTGTGGTGGTTCTCTTCTGCCTTTGGGAATGGAAAGTAGCAAAGCTGCCGATTGTTCCGAGTAGGCCTCGATTCATTGCTCATCCTATCCAGGCTCATTTCTTTCAGTGCATATCTTCAAACACATCACTGTTGTCGGTGTCTACATATGCATGTTCTCCAAGTTCGTTCTAAAGTTGACCAACAATCATTCTCGAAACATGAACAGTTATATTGCAGTGGATTTGTTTTTTTCTCAGCGCTGTACTATCTTCCTTTGTACTTTCAAGTCGTGCTCCAATATTCTCCTACCTATTCTGGTGTGTTGTTGAACCTGCTCCGAATTCATTTTATCACGATGATATCTCATACTTGGGTACCATCTCTTAGGAACGTTTCTCTTACCAATTGTATTGAGTCAAGTTGCTTCAAGTTTATTAGCGGTGAGGGCTTTTGTTTCATATCACCCACAATTGATAATCTTGTTGCTCATGATCTTTCATTTCAAGGGATTATCCATTAGCCATACGGGTAAATATCGTACAGTGGTATATTCTGGTTTCGCCTTGTCCGCTATCGGGTCAGGATGCATTTCCATCTTCAACGCAAGCACCTCCAAGGCAGTGATGGTAGTCCTTATGCTCATAACTGGTGCTGGAAATGGCATGGTGCGATTACTCTTTTTGTTTTTGCTTCAGCAAGCATATTCTTCTCAAAAGCTTGACTGTTTCCCTCGTCAGACCATGCAAACTACCACAGTGGCTGCTCAAGCCAGTGTAGCGAGAAAGGACATGTCGGTCGTCACCGCAGTACGAAACGTGAGTTAGCCGGCTTGAACTCGGACTTGACTGATGTGTTTCGTCCATAGTTTCTTCGTATGCTTGGCGGAGCTATTTCGCTCCCTGTTGCTTCTTCGCTCTTGTAAGTAAACCTTCATGACCGGTCGAAGTCTAATGTTGAGGTTTCCGCTCAGGAACAACGCAATCCGAACCTCCATGATCAACCTTGAACTTCCCGCATCCACCATTACCACTGTTATCGATAATCCATCGTTGCTAACCAATTCCTCCTCCATTTCGACCCTCGACATATCTGTTTATCAGGCAGCAAACATACTATCTAAGGGATACACAAAAGGATTCCGAGACGTCTTTCTACTGAATGCGGCAATGTCGGCGACTGCGACGCTGGTGAGCGCAGTGATGATCAAGCACAAAGAACTCTTGAGGGGAGATGAAGACCAATTGAGGAAGGAGGCGGCGGAAGCACTGCGAAAGGCTAAAAGGAAGGGTGTAGAGAAAGAACTCGGAGAAGTTGTTGAGTAGACTATTGATCATCCTCTGCTATATTGAGCTGTGCCCAAAACTCTCGAGTGCCATCAAGAGAAATTTTGACGAGGCCACACAGGAAAATTGAGAGCATCCATGGACTCTCCTTCGATACAGTCCATTCTCAAGCTCAAATGAACCTTGCAGTCAGAAATCATACACGCTTAATCAAACAATTTATCAAATTCGATTGACTTACACATACGAATCCCACGCAAAACCCGAGACCGTGGTGTGGAATTCTATAAAAACCAAGCGCGACAATTCTTACTTCCGCTGGTTTTTTCTTCTTTGCTGGTCAAAGAAAACCTGTGGCGACAAGCTCTGATTGACTTTACAGTCTAAGATATCCTCCATGCGGACTCTCCATCTCTCGCTTCTCTGCCTTCTCCTCGCTATATGTATGGCATCTGCAGGCCCCTGTCCGGTGAGTTCTCTTAATCGATGGTACCGGACAACCCTTTTTGGCAAAGATGTCCAACTCACCAAGCCTGGCTTGCAATTTTCAGTCTGTGAGCTACGATATGAAAGCTCGAGACCCTAGCGTCCGACCCTATTTTGTGAAGCCCGTTTTCGTCACTTGGAGTAGCATTGAACCTCCCAGGTGGCTCCTTATTCAAGATGCTTTAAAAGCCCTTTTGCTACAAGATGCAACGAGCGCATTAGGGCTGCCTGCGGGAGCCATTATGGATTATACCTCGGAACAATCCTTTCCGGCTCATAACGGGAAGGATGTTTATAGCCCGATCGAGTTCACGGTTAACGCAGAGAGGTGTAAGGGGAAGGGGGTATTCAGAGCTTTAAGAAAGTCTGTCTGTGAAGTTCAGGCTGATCCGAAGGCATTGAGAAAGAGGGTGATAATTAAGGATGCGGGAGGAAATACAATATTCAGTAAAGGCCAGTTGGAGTGGAAGGAGAAAGGGGAGGTCACAACGGGGTTATGATTGAGCCAAAACCTTCGAAGAGTTATCGTGCAAACGAGCGAACACTATGACTAAGATTTGAGAGTTCGAGCCGAGCTTTGCTTCAAAAGTGGTCGTATCTTTTGACGCTCTATCGACCTCGACTAGGCATGGAAATGGTGTCTCCAGTAAGGGCATAAGGTACGGCAATTGCCTTCCTCAGATGAAGTCCATGCTTGACCAAGAACCAGGAGCAATGAAAGTATAAGGACGATGTAACTCCTGCTCCTTAATTCGGCTCCCTTCAAGTTCAAACACTGAACAT